GAAAGTTACTCAACTTGTTGAAAGCAAGGTTGAGTCTTTGCAGATGACTAAGTTTTGTGAGGCTGCTGTTAGTATTAATGGTTCCGTTAAGAAAGCTGCAAGAAAGATCGAGTCCTATAACGTGACCAGTAAATCCATGACAAGTAACACCATCCCATTGACAACAATCTCCTGTAACATTCCAAGACAAAGTCTTAGCTCGGGCCTCATAGTCACAGTCATAACCACTAAGATCAACTGTGAGGCCTTGCTGAAATTGAAGCAAATAAAAAGCTTCATCGCGGGCACAGAGATGTTGCCCAGCATATGTAAGCTGAGATTGATGGACAAAAAGTATAAAATGTGAATAGAAGCAGAAAGCTATTAGCAATTTTTGGTACTCCATTGAATATATCTAACTAGCTAGGAACTTGTACCCCATATATTTATATACATACAGTGTGATCAATAATGCGTTATTATCAATCAACACAAAAGCTAATACTTTATTAAGTCACACAACTTTGCTACCAGTCTACCACTAATACTATTTTAATATTTTTTCAAATGTGTACTTATCTTTCTAAAAAGAAAATTCCCAACTCGTTTAACAACCATAGAAAAAGTTTCTTCCAATGAAATTACACAGTAGTAGCAAAGAATAGGTGCAACTAGGAGTATCAAACGGACCTTCGGGGGTGGTCCAGTGGTTTGGGCTTGGAACTTCCATGTCGGAGGTCTGAAGTTCGAAACCCCTTGCCAGTGAAAGCAAGGGGTTTGCCTTCTGGGTCGAGCTCATTGCACCGGGCTTGCCTAGGGTTATCTCTCCTATGTGGTTTGCGAGCTATTGCATAGGAGCAGGGGTTTACCCTGTGCGCACCCAAAGGATAGCGGCTGCAGGTTTCCCTTGTCATAAAAAAAAAACTAGGAGTATCAAACGGACAGATTGGGCTGAACTTGGGCTAAAGCAGATTATTGAAATGAGCTAAAAACTAAGTCATAACCTAACCTATACGATTCTTACTAAATTTAAAATTGAAATATACATGTGGTACGTTACAAAATGAGTTATTGTTCTGCCTCATGCAACTGAGAAACATAACACAAGCAAAATGCTACTCTCTTTGTTTGTCCGGTTTTAACTTTGTACGGAATTTTAAAAAATAAAGAAGACTTTTAAATTTTATGGTCTTAAACTCAAGATAAGTAGAATATATCAAAATGTCTTTTAATTTTGTGATTTTAAATATGTCACGTGGAAAGTTGAAACTAGAGAGTTGATAAAAGAGGAAACATATATTCTTTTTTAAACGAACTTAAAAAAATAAGACAAACAAATTGAAACAGACCGCCGATAATAGGTCATATGACTTTGATGGCAAACCATTTCTGTTAGATTATTACAATATAATACAATTACAAGTTCATAGCCAGTCAAGACATTAATAAGTAATGGTATTTTGCTGGGCAATAGTTTTGGTTCAATTCTTGTATATTCTATTCTATATACTATATTATAAAAGAGAGTTTAGGGCCAACTATAATATATAATATTTAAGATTGGGACTTTGTCCCAATCTTGAATATTATATATTATATACTTGGACTTTTCCATTTGACATATATATATATATATATATATATATTCTACTATATATTTATTATAAAAGAGAGTTTAGACAACAAAAATAACATATATTGGGTCCATTTTAATTTATTTCTCTTTTTTTTTTGTTTTTATTATATTTAAAAATTGCGTAAATTCTACTATATTATAAAAGAGAGTTTAGGGCCAACTATAATATATAATATTCAAGATTGGGACAAAGTCCCAATCTTGAATATTATATATTATATACTTGGACTTTTCCATTTGACATATATATATATATATATATAT